TCTTTTATTTGATTATTGTAAACAGCACGTGCGACGGATGAAAAAAGTTGAAATCTTGGCGAAACAGCAGATGCGTTTCCCATTTCTGATTACCCCTCAGAAAGACATATTTGTTTTTGACACATTGTGCTTTTCACTATCTCTCAAAGTAGCGGACTTTTTTATATACTGAACCAGGAGCTCCGCAGCTACTATGAGCAGCTTAAAGGAACTTGGTGAATCCGATTTTTGAACTGCCTAAGGTTAGTAGAACTGGGAAAAGCCTCCTCAGCTAGATTGTTCCACGATGTTAATACCCTAGGGACAAAGGAGCGGTCGTAGCGGCCGGTTCTGGAAGTCAGATAGGTCTGTCTGGCAGGCACATCATGGGGCGGTATTATGGAAGGGAACTTTGAGGAGCAAAGCTTGCTGGCGTAGCGGTAGAAGAGAGCTAGATCGCCAACGACCCTTCGGTGCAAAAGGGTCCAGAGACCGTCCGTTACAGAAAAGTAATCGATCCGGCAGCCCTCCTCTGAAATGTACTCGGGGAGGCAGCATCCCAAACATGTGTATAGTACTCGAGGATAGGTCTTACCTGAGCCTTGTACAAAATGAGGAGATTAAGAGAAGCAAAATAATTCATAACCTAGAATAAATAGCCCAGCTTATACCCAGAAGCTGCCCCTATTGTCGAGATGTGTTCGTGCCAGATCAAGTCCTCGGTGATATGGGTTCCGGCCAGACAAAATGAATTGCTTTTTAGGTAGAACTCAGCCATCCATCGAAACTATTTAGTCCATCTGAGCACTAGGACGCTTCTTGTTAGTTAAGGTGCAGTACAGTGTTTTGGAAGCATTAAACTGTACCAGATTGTTGCATCCCCAAACAATTGTCTGAAGAATATTCGTGTTTTTATCCTAAATCGGTGGCATCAATGGCAAAGAAATTCACAACATACTGTATTTTGGTGAAAGGATATTTTAGAACTTGCATTTATTAAGGGTGGCGCAGAGGAAACCTCATGTTTTCTGCGTGAATAGTATTTCGAAAAGAGAAGTGGGTTGACATTAACTCACCGCCAGCAGAGAACACAGGCAATGCAGTTTTAGCCATGGCACCGTGGACAATTGAGCATCGTGTGTCTGTCGTCGAGCAATTTTTCCGAAACAATGAATCTGTAGGGGTCAGTTCCATATTGAAATACGATACTCCAATGAGTTGAGGCATTTCGAACTACTGGATCTGTAATGAAGAGGATGCCACCTGGCCTTCCCCGTACCGTTTGAACACCAGGCAATATCGAAATAGTGAGAAGAGTGGTCCTCGATAGTCCTCAACGGTCCACTAGGCGACAAGCTCTAGCTCTGCGTACGTCCTGTCGATCGTTACAACGCATTCTGCGCGATTTGCAATTTCATCCCTATAACATAATGATTGTGCAAGAGCTAACGGAAATTGATTTTACACAGCGTAGACAGTTTTGTGCGAGAATGTTGACCATTTTTGCTGATGATCCTAACGTCGTCATAATGATGAGTGACGAAGCACACTTCCATTTAATGGGATATACAGGGTGGCCAAACACGTGACGTCATAAAAAAAAATTAGATTCCCCACATCGAGAGGAACCCAAATCACCCCCATATATATGGTCCGATTTTGTTTAGTTTAGGAGTTATGATTTTTTTTCGGATTTTTCGAGAATTTTTGAGTTCTGTGTTTATTTTTACCATAACTTCGTTAATAATTGTGATAAATGCTTGCTTTTTTCACGATTATGTAGCTAAGACCTAAGGCTTAACTATCATATAATCACTCAAGTCATGTAACTAATACTACTTTTTAATTTTTTTCAAAATCTTCGAACATAACAAAAAAGTAAAAAAGTGCAACAACTTTGAACGTTTATAAAAAATGAAAAAACATGTTCTTACTATTCGTAAGTATCTTAAAAACTTCCTTACGGTATCAGCTATTTACCGTAAAAATTTCATCAACCTAGCTTTACTACATGCTACCGTAATTGTGGCTCAAATATAACCGAACCCAAAATTGGATAACCCTCTGCTCAATAGAAATTGTTAGTTTCGGAAAAAAAATTTGCAAAAACCACAAAAACACGTTTGATTTTTACTGAACAGCAGATTATTATTCATTTATGTTATTTACAAGAGGTTTTCAAAATGTCTGCCTCTAACAGAAATGCACAGTGTACACCTACGTATGAAATTTTGTTTTAAATCTCTAAATGCTTGTGTGTTGTTTTTCAACACATGTGTCGCTTCTTGAATTTTGTTCCTCAATGAATTTTCATTTGCACATTCTTGGGCGAATGTTATGTCTTTAAAATATCCCCAAACAAAAAAATCAATGGGGTTGAGGTCAGGGGAGCGTGGAGGCCATCGTATCGGTCCGTTTCGTCCGATCCATCTGTCTGGGAACCTTTCGTTTAAGTAGTTTCGCACGATCGTTGCGTTGTGGCATGGTGCACCATCATTCTGGAACACCATGTTCCGTCTGGCTTCCAGGCTTGAATCTTCCAGCAATAATGGTAGGCTATTTTCAAGGAAGCTTTTGTAGGCTACCGAATCCAACCTTGACGGCAGTTCAAATGGACCGATAAATTCCATATTGAATATTCCTGACCACATGTTCACACTAAAACGGTGTTGAAATGTCGACGGCCTTGACTGGTGGGGGTTTTCAACAGCCCAGGTATGTAAATTATGGATATTGAATATCCCTGTTCTTTCAAAACGTGACTCGTCAGTCCATAAAATTTTATCAAAAAAATCGGGATCCTCTCGTTGTCTTCGCAGCACCCACAACCTGAGCATTACCCAGACCACCGTGTTTTTATTAACACACATAACACTTTCATGGCAGGCCGCATTCCAGGACGAGGAAGCAATGAAGGATATCCTACAGCTGATCGATCGCAGAGAAGTAGTACTTGAAGAAATTAGCCGGAATCCCTCAACGAGTACGAGATCTATGGCACAAAACCTTAGAATACCACGAACATCGATACAAAATATTCTTCATGAAGAAGGTTATCATGCCTATCATGTTCAAAGAGTTCAAGCGTTGATGCCTTCAGATTACCAGTTAAGAGTGGATTTCTGCGAGACAATGCTGCGAAGACAACGAGAGGATCCCGATTTTTTTGATAAAATTTTATGGACTGACGAGTCACGTTTTGAAAGAACAGGGATATTCAATATCCATAATTTACATACCTGGGCTGTTGAAAACCCCCACCAGTCAAGGCCGTCGACATTTCAACACCGTTTTAGTGTGAACATGTGGTCAGGAATATTCAATATGGAATTTATCGGTCCATTTGAACTGCCGTCAAGGTTGGATTCGGTAGCCTACAAAAGCTTCCTTGAAAATAGCCTACCATTATTGCTGGAAGATTCAAGCCTGGAAGCCAGACGGAACATGGTGTTCCAGAATGATGGTGCACCATGCCACAACGCAACGATCGTGCGAAACTACTTAGACGAAAGGTTCCCAGACAGATGGATCGGACGAAACGGACCGATACGATGGCCTCCACGCTCCCCTGACCTCAACCCCATTGATTTTTTTGTTTGGGGATATTTTAAAGACATAACATTCGCCCAAGAATGTGCAAATGAAAATTCATTGAGGAACAAAATTCAAGAAGCGACACATGTGTTGAAAAACAACACACAAGCATTTAGAGATTTAAAACAAAATTTCATACGTAGGTGTACACTGTGCATTTCTGTTAGAGGCAGACATTTTGAAAACCTCTTGTAAATAACATAAATGAATAATAATCTGCTGTTCAGTAAAAATCAAACGTGTTTTTGTGGTTTTTGCAAATTTTTTTTCCGAAACTAACAATTTCTATTGAGCAGAGGGTTATCCAATTTTGGGTTCGGTTATATTTGAGCCACAATTACGGTAGCATGTAGTAAAGCTAGGTTGATGAAATTTTTACGGTAAATAGCTGATACCGTAAGAAAGTTTTTAAGATACTTACGAATAGTAAGAACATGTTTTTTCAATTTTTTATAAACGTTCAAAGTTGTTGCACTTTTTTACTTTTTTGTTATGTTCGAAGATTTTGAAAAAATTAAAAAGTAGTATTAGTTACATGACTTGAATGATTATATGATAGTTAAGCCTTAGGTCTTAGCTACATAATCGTGAAAAAAGCAAGCATTTATCACAATTATTAACGAAGTTATGGTAAAAATAAACACAGAACTCAAAAATTCTCGAAAAATCCGAAAAAAAATCATAACTCCTAAACTAAACAAAATCGGACCATATATATGGGGGTGATTTGGGTTCCTCTCGATGTGGGGAATCTAATTTTTTTTTATGACGTCACGTGTTTGGCCACCCTGTATAAACCAGCAAAACTTAGGTATTGGGCGGCCGAAAATCCACGAGAGCTACACCAACGACCCTTACATAGTGAAAAATTGACTGTGTGGAGCGGAATTAGTAAATTAGGTATCATTGGTCCTTACTTTTTTGAGAAGCAAGAAAAAGCAGTAACAGTTCTTTAGCACGTTATGTTCACATGTAACAAAGTTTTCTGTTACCGGAACTTCAACGGCAACAAGTAAACATGGGAGAACTGTACTTTCAACAAGACGGTGCCACAGCTCACACAGAGCATCAATGGAATGTGTTCGACAAATGTTTCCTGAACATGTCATTTCTCGTTTCGGCGATGTTCCTTGGCCTCCACGCTCTCCAGATTTGTCTGCATGTGACTTCTTTTTGTGGGGTTACCTTGAGGCTAAATTGTACCCTCACAAACACCGTGCGATACAGGAACTGAAAATTGCTATTCGTCAAGAACTCGCAAGAATACCACAAGAAACGATCCTACGTGTAATACAAAACTTTCAAGAGCGGTTGGAGATGTGCGAACGCGAAAAAGGGCGCAATTATTCTAAAAGCGCACTATTATTAGTTTATTTAGCTGTAGTTAAAATAAAATTATCTTAAACATAAAAAAATGTTATGCTTACGTTTCCTTTGTGCCACCCGGTATTAGTCCCCTTAGACCATTTTTGGGTGTAACTTTCTTCTCTAGAGATATCGGCATTGATTTTGGGATCACTCTATGGACGTTTATTATCTCAACACTTAGCTCTGCTCCCTGTGCATACATTCAAATTCTTAAGCCAGTAGTGCAGAAACTCTGATTCAAGGGTATTTTATGTGTAAATTACTTGGACGACTTCTTAATCCTCGGCGAAAGATCCAAAACTTGTATGCAGAACACCAATTTCGATCGAATTTCCTTAAGGTAAGTTCATTTGATCGTTAAATCATTATACACGTTTTTAAGTAGCACTTTGGTGTAAAAAGCTCGACTACCCTTCATTTAGTTTTTTAAGCTCACTTCAGGAGCACTGAACACAAAATAAACTAACTTGCCGTTATTTCCCAGAGGCAGGTTGTACTCGTACAAGTCCCAGCTTTAAAATGAAGCTATTATCCATCCGTAAAGGAACGCGGTAACTGGACATAAAGCTTTATCTGACACGTTCTGAGCAGGTTTCTTATATTGAATTATGGAATTGCGCTGCAGATAAATAAACATACAGCGTGCAATGGGCTGAATATTTACAGCTGAAAGGCAAAAAATCTGAGAGCAACTGGTTTATGCATTGGAATACAATATGTATAAGCGGTAAGCGGTAGCTGTTTTGTAATACCTATGATGAAATGATAGGAAATGCTAATAAGAGCACAGGTTGTTTCTGTCAAAGTAGTTTCCAGCGTTAGCATACCAGGACGGAACGGTTGTAGAAAACTTCAAGGCGAAAGACAAACCCCACCGTGGACGCCTCTTCCGGCGACCGTCTTTACCAACATTTCTAGGGGAATATGAGTTTACTTGTGTTCCAGAAAAAAATGGCCGAACACTGACCCTCAATTTAGCAAAGAACCTAAAGTAGTAGACACTTGTATATACATAATTGTGGTTATGCCAAATAATAAAAACTAATAAAGAATATACATCAAAACTATCAAATATATTGAAAATAAAAATGAAAATTCTTTCAACCGCGAAAGCTTTATGCTTGCTTAAGCTTCACAAATTTGCATAAAATGTTCCACAGATGGAAAAATACAGATCTATGTAAGCATACACATTCGAACGAAACGTGTTTACATTAATTTAAATAATGTCTTTTTTAAAACCAAAATTCAAAATTACGGATCAAAGGTCTATCTCAAGAAATGCTGTAATAAACACAACACCATTGTATCGAATCTGGAAGATAATGAAATTCTCCTAGTTCGTTCTAAGTGTGGTACAGTCGCCGTGTGGCAGTCTTGACAGCACCTTAGATGACGAGCAATCGCATCAGCTTAATTTGTTTAATGAATGAGATTGTTTGACTAACAAAATATGCTTCAGCCCATTTTGGACTCAATAAGTAACATACCGCACGGAGGTTATAATTACTCGTGGTACCTCAACATTGTGGATTTTGATATGTTGTGAAGAAATTGATAATCAAAAATGTCAAAATTATACTGTTGAATAGACATTGGGTGTATCTTTTAAATGATGTATCATAAGCATCTGCTTCCGATTTAAGAATTGCACCCGAGATAACACTTTAAGGCAATAAGATCTATTCTTTGAATCCATAATCATACCTCTGGGTTTTCATAAATATGCGCTATAATAGATGTAACGAATTTAGTGCATTTTGCTGTTCCCGAAATATACAGGGTGATTCACCAGCGGTCACCAAAAATGAAACATCATACACAGGACGCATTTTAAGAGGGGTCTTCTATTTAACACTTTTTCTCGAGGGCTTCACTAAAAATATTCGGGGTGTTGAAGTTTAAAAAGTTTAAAAATAAAAGACATCTTCAAAACCGTCAACTGGAATGAACTAAAACTTGGTATGTGGATTTACCTAAGTATTGTCCTGATTCAAAAGTCTTTAGTTAAAATTATCGTGCACCAGCGGCTGAGACAGTTTTATCTCGGCTCTTCAAGAATGATCTAATTTGTTTTATTTCTATGAAAACAGTGCACTCTAGGAAAAAAAACACAAAAGTAATTATTTGTAGCAAGTTGTAGGTAAAATTTGAAATATTAAAATAAAAAAAGGGGCGTACTATTTTTATTTGGAAAAATAATGTCACTAATCCCCTGTATCTCAGCCACTGGTGCACGTTAGTTTTGAGTAAAGATTTATGAATGTGCACAAGGTAGGTAAATCCGCATACCAAATTCTAGTTCATTACAGCTGACGGTTTTGGAGATATTAAGTTTTTTTTTATTTTCAAACCTCAACACCCCGCATCTTTTTAATGATCTCGAGGAAAAAATGTTACATAGAAGACCCCTTTGATGAGGTCCTGTGTATGGTGTTTCATTTTTGGTCACGACTTGTGAATCACCCTGTAGAGATTATCAGTGATCAACAACCAAAAAATATACTAAATAAAATCAACAAAATATTACTATTTTTAATGTGCTAAAACCGGAATGAAACTTATTTTTTCAATATTAGTTCAAGTTTTAGAGATACGGTAATTATATGTGTTCCTGCTGTGACAGTGTTAATATACTGTAATTTACAAGAATGCACGTGCTACATTTTTATATTCGGCAATGAAAGATGATGTAATCGGCATGATTGTGTTACGTTATACATACGTGTACATTATATTGTTTTATATTAGCCATTTTTTCCTCAGTTGGCTGACAGCGTTCATGCAAGATGTCTCGAAAGTGTGTAAACAATCCAGATCAGTTTTGTTACGTGTGTGGTGATGTGACTTTTGCGTCTCAGAGACGGTCTATTACTCCACTAATAACAAAGGCATATCAGCTTTATTTCGGTTGTAAACTAGGTGATCAAGACAAACAGTGGGCACCCCACATCTGCTGTAATACATGTGCTTCAAGTCTGAGGAGCTGGTTAAATGGCAAAAAACGGTATATGCGCTTTGCTGTCCCAATGGTTTGGAGAGAGCCTACAAATCATGTTAATGATTGTTACTTTTGCATGGTACCTTGTGTTGGACAAGCCACAGGTATGTCCAAGAAAAAAAAAATCGGTTATAAACTACCCAAACATACCATCTGCGATGAGACCTGTGCCTCACAGTGACGAAAATCCTATTCCAAAACCCCCGGAATCCTACACTTGCGAATCAGAAAACGAATCAGATCATGGCGATCGAGTGATTCGTCAGGAAGAAGATATGCCATCAACGTCAAGAGATCCTGATTTTACAAGTATACCGAGCACGTCATGCCACCAACCGCACAAAATAACACAGTCAGAATTAAATGATCTTGTAAGAGATTTAGAACTTCTACAATGTAAGGCAGAGTTACTTGGATCAAGACTGCAGCAGTGGAACTTGTTAGAAGACGATGTTTTGGTATGTGTTTTTCGTAAACGCCACAAAGACTTAGAACCATTTTTCAATATGGAGAATAACTTGGTTTTCTGCAGTAACATTAACGGCTTACTGGCGGCTTTAAATATAAACTATAACCCAGAAGAATGGAGATTGTTTATAGACAGTTCAACATTGAGTTTAAAGGCAGTGTTATTGCATATTGGAAATATTTTACCATCTCTTCCTGTAGGGTATGCAGTTCACATGAAAGAATCATATGACAATATGAAGTACCTATTGATATGCATAAAATACGATGAGCACCAATGGCATATTTGTGGCGATTTGAAAGTTGTTGCACTTTTACTTGGGCTGCAGCTAGGCTACACAAAGTTTTGGTGTTTTTTGTGTGAATGGGACAGTCGGGCAAAGGCACTTCATTACACCAGACACAACTGGCCTGTTCGTCAATTCCTAGAGCCAGGTCAAAAAAATGTACAGCATATGCCATTAGTAGATTCGAAAAAAAATTTATTACCACCACTGCATATCAAGTTGGGCCTAATGAAAAACTTTGTCAAGGCATTAGATAGAGATGGGTCAGCTTTTCAATACCTGCGTCAGAAATTTCCAAGACTAAGTGAGGCAAAGGTTAAAGAAGGTATTTTTGTTGGGCCGCAGATTCGAAATATTTTGAAAGATACACAGTTCGAAAACACTTTAACAGGTATTGAAAAAACTGCTTGGAATGATTTCCGTCTGGTGGTCACTAATTTCTTGGGAAATAGAAAAGCTGACAACTATAAAACCCTTGTCAAAAATATGCTGTCATCGTATCAAAAGATGGGCTATAATATGTCTCTTAAGATACATTTCCTGCACTCACACCTGGACTTTTTTCCTGACAATTGCGGAGCCGTAAGTGATGAGCACTGCGAACGTTTTCATCAGGATATTTCAACAATGGAAAAAAGGTACCAGTGAAAGTGGAATCCTTCCATGCTTGCAGACTACTGTTGGACTCTTGGTAGAGATGCTCGAGAAACGATCCAAAAAAGAGCAAAAAGACAGCGCATATAGGAATTCTTATAAGTATATGAATCTTGTTACTTTTTTTAATATATCCTTAAAAATAAAAAGTTTTTTTTCTAAACCGCAACTAATTTTTTTATTTCATTGTCATTTTTGGATTCAGCGTCCCAAAATTAACAAAGAAGTGCACTTTTCCCACAAGATACAATTAAAAAACTAAAATTTGTTGTCCAGTGATTAGAGATCAGAAATATCACAATTTGTTGCAAACGATTTTGTAAAGGAAATGTTGGAAGTAATTCCAGAACCTTTGGCATGATGAGACACGACCGATAAATATCAATGATTGCAAATTCATGTTGAGCTACGCACTTCTCTGTCAATGGCTGTACCAGCAATTAACCTATAATAATAAATAATTTTATACACGAATAGCTGAACACTTCAAGTAAGATTTACGACGTGAACTAGATGCGGTTACGCCCTTATGCAACCAGTCAAATCTGTGTACCAGTTTTGATTATAAATAACCGCATAAGCTATTTTAAGACATAAGCTCAAATGTTAGACTATTACATGCATGTGGGTTTTCTTGGCCTGGCAAATACGAGTACTATTAGGATCTGTTGCATGGTACATGCAGATGCGTTTTTTAAGAAAAACCGGTATATCACCAGCGATTGTGAACTATTTAATTAAGATACGGAAGCAACTGAACACCGAGATTGGGGAGTCATTAACGCCATTCTCTTTGAGTATCGCAAGTGCGCTCATTGAAATAACGCGCGAATATGTGTCAATAGTGTACTTACCGAATTCGAAGTTGGCATAATGTGACAGGTGTTCTCCTACAAATAGAATGGAAAGGTAACAAGTAACAGTGGGACAACATATGGGATTTACGCACCGAAAATTCTGTAAATAGCAGTATATAGATCTAACTCCGTCGAATAGAGGTGGTTCTGTTGTATGAAAAATGTTCTGACGGCAATGTTTTTGAAATCAAAATAATGCTGTCATGTCTGTCATGCGGTGTACCACAATTTTCCAGGAGGAAGTTCATGCAATTTTGTCTCTTGAGGTTATACGCAAGAATACAATGGCGAATTCAGGAGAGGGGGAAAGGGACTTTGGGGCTCAAGCCCCTCTCAGAACTCAATAGGCTAATACCGTCTTCTTAACATATTTTTTATTCTTGAGCCACCAAGCAGGCCT